ACCACCAGCACCACCAGCACCACTAATGCTCCGCGTCGGCGGATTGCGACCTCGGCCACAGCCATCAGCACCGCCTCCACTTCCACCACAAGACAACTGCTCCTAGTACCTTCACTACCACGAACACCACGGTGAAAACAGTACATCCCATTGCTATTACTTCTATACCACCACTTCTAGTCATGCTGCCAGTCCTGCTACTCCTTTGTTCATCATAGTTGCTGCTGCTGCTGCTGCCGCTACCGCTGCTGCTGGGCTAGCAACTGAAGCTGTGAAGGCTGCTACCGATGGGCATCACGATGTGTGCGTCCATGGGAGGGCGCCTCCATCAGTCCTCCTTGCTGACGGACGCCTGTCGAAAATTGGAGTTTTTCTAAGAGCGCACGCGTCTCCATGAAAAGTGGGACCCAGTGCAGACCCCAAAATATAACAATCCTTAATGGACGGACCCCCAAAACACCCTATCCCAATATACCCCAATACTGTATAATGTAGTACCTGAAGTAGTTTCCATTTTCTTTTCCATTATTCCCATATCCCTGTATATTGACTGTAGAGCCATAGTTTCCATCTCATTCTCCAGTCTCGTTTCCATATGACTTCCCTGATAGTAGTTTCCATATGTACCACCAAACCTTAAACCCTAAATAGTACTTTCCATCTCCTCCCCCCCCACTATCCCTGCCCAAACCCTTTGCTTTGGGATCCCTTAATTATCGGGGTAACATTTCTTAACGTATACCAGCCGATACATCCCCTGCATCACCTTAAAATATACCCCAATATAATACGGCAGCCCCTGTTCTCTTCCATCATCCCCATATATCCCTGTAAAATCCCGAAAGAAAAACCCTATACCCTAAACCCTAGACCTTAACTTCCCAAGGTATACCACTTCTTGGTGACGTGGGTTTGTCTTTGTGGTGCTGGATTCTGTCTGCTGTTTCTCTGGTGCCAGGCCATGAGTCTTAGCTCGCCTTGTTTAGGGTTCATGGCTAAGGGCTTAGGGGTTTAGGGTATTCCTTATCGAGTCAGTCATGGGTCTTGATCAGGCTGCTATTCATGGGGACTGGTTCACAAGGGGGTTTGTGGGGGCAGTAAACTTTCGGAAGCTTCCATCTGAAGTGCCGCCCTTGAGGTGTATCCTGTCTTCGAGGTGGAGACAGAGGCAAGGCAGCAGGAGTTTGGTAGCCATCCTTGACACAATGCTCAGTGGAGGTTTCCAAAAAGTTGGGGCCCCTTTTGGGAGTACAGCTAACTGGGACTATAATAGTGAGCTTGGGTCTGTACCAGGGCCACCTAATCATGGAAACCCGGATGTCTGGATGGTGCTTTCGCCGATCTGCCGCAGGTACTGCTGGGTGCCATTCTCGACTACTGTCTTGTGGGAGTACCTTGGCCTTATCATAGTATATTATAGTATGCTATCGTATATCATAGTATATTATAGTATGTTATTGTACATTATAGTATACTATAGTATATCATAGTATATTATGGTATGTTATAGTAAAATTTCTTTTTTTCAGAGCTGCGGGTCCCCACCATGAGAGCTCTTCAAAGTGGGAGTGAACTGCTGGTCTTGCTTGCAGAAGTTGCTTCGGCAACTGAGGTTTCGAGCATTGCGATCAGCTGTGCCGGCCCAGACTTACACGCCCCACTTCTTCCCAGTCAGGAAGAGGAGAAGTGGGGTTTACAGTTCTAGAAATACAGTACAGTATTAGTGCTGCACAGTATTCCAGTACTGTTGGTGCTGCCACTGCAGGAAATCTTGCGCCATTTGGAGTCCTAAGCTTCTGTGGTTGCACTGAGTTGGGGAAGATAGGGTAGTGCGAGACGAGATTACCTTCATGCGCTACCGGTAGTTAGGGTGGTAGATACCAGTCACAGCAACGCATGCATCGAAACCCAAACCCCAACTTCCGCTTAGCATCGTGGCTGTGGATTTGCCTCGCCAGGAGCTATCGCTCTATCCGGGCCCACACAGCCAGGGCTTCTTCCCAAACCTGGACCGTCCTGGGGTCTTTGCCATGCTTCGACTCGTTCGAGTGCAAGTCGCCCTTTTGCCGATCCTGCTAGAGCCACTACCTTCTCTATCTTTACTAACTATCACAGACTTGGTTTGCCCATTTTGCACATGGCCGAATTTGTCAAGACTCCCTGTTCGCAGGACTTCTATGACGACAATTTGTAGCCACTGGTGCCTTGATGGAAATGAGGTTTCCTTGCTGGCAGTTGGTGCAACTTGTGAATTTCTAACCAACTAGCTCAGGACTGTGCAGAGTTCACGCTGATGACTCAGCCATGGGCACTGCAATCCAGCAGCAACTTGGCGGCAGCATGCAGCATCAAGTAAAGCACGGTATCGGTCGGCAGGCAGCATGAGCAAACTGCTCCATGCAGATGTTGCTTCATTCTTTGGTTGCCAGGCTATGTACTCGCATCAAGCTAGCCTGAATGAGCAAGCATGGGTGGGCAAGGTGAGGCGACTGCCCAGGGGACCGTTCATGTTTACAGCCAGAGAGGCGAGAGGAGGTGAGGAGTGTGTTGTGGGAAGCGGAGGCAAGTGAAGAGTCTTGCGCATTCAAAGCCCTGCGTAGCTGCCATCATGACAGCGCAAAACCAAGAGCAAAGGACACCGGAAAAAGGAAGAGGAATAGCAAGCCAGCAGAAGAAGCACAACGGCAGCCCAGGAGCCTGAACATTCCAAATTCCAAAATGGACCACATCGTTCGTGAAGGGGGCAAGGGGGCCCCTGATTCGTTTACCACCAACCGACCTTGGACGGACCTTGTGAATCCAAGCCCAACACGAACCTTGGCGAAGGGAGGTGAATTGGACGAAGGAAAGAAGAAGGTTGACAAAGCTGTGCCTCGGAGCATGATGTTCTTCAATTCCCGCCTCTTGTTTTGCACCCGAGGGATTTGCACAACCCCAATCAAGCCTAGACGAAGGGGACAAAGCTTTGAAGGCTGGGGGGGCTTGGACGAACCTTGTCAACGGTCCATGCAGTGATCGACTTTTGGGCCGCCCCTAGCGTTTACCCCTGACCTCCCAACCCTGAGCGGGTGAGAGAGTGACACCTGCACTTGCAGCCGACGCCAAATCTCTGGGCGGACAGCGGTGTGAGGCCGGAAGCACTAAACAGCTGTCGACAACAGACAAGGGAAACCATATTGTGAGCATGCACCGGCTACAAATATTCGATTTGATGTATATTCAGCTCAAGCTGGAATTCAAAGAAGTTCCCTCTTTTTCCTTCTTGACAGTCGTAGAGACTGGAGACATGTTTTCATGGTGACCCAGTGCTGCTGAATCAGGGCTCACAGTTTTGTCCTTTGAGGCAAGCACTTATCCCTACCAATGCTCAGTCTTTGCATGTACAATGTTTTTTTCCGAAAGGATTATTGAAGACCGTGTGGAGCATATTCATTCGACCTTCTAATTCAGTCTTGGCTTTGCCAACAGACAAGAACTCTGTCATATTGTGTTGATTTTGTGGGTTGGGACCTTATACATGAAGCTTCGTAGCCCGTCCCTGACTTGCTACGTTGTTGTGGACCTCCACCCGCTAGACCGCATGAAGACTGAGGGGGTTGCTGTCATGGCATTGTCTAGGCTAGCTAGAGCTTGAGGCATGAGTGGCTTCCTGGCAGCTGCTAACGATGCTGGTACAATATTGATCTCAGATACACATTTGCAGTCATATGCCTATCATATAAGTACGCACAACCTTTGTTTCCACCCCCTTTCCCCCCTGCGAATTCGGAAGTGTGTCCTTTGTCTGTTCTGACCTGCGCAGCAAGCTGAAGTGCTGTCCCGTAAGGCCTGCAACGCAGTGAGCGTGTCCTACTCCTACACTGGCAACTTATACCGAGCTCCTTGACTTGGACGTCTCGCGTGAAGCCCTGCTTTTCGTTAGCTGAGGAGGCGTGACAGAGTGTTTGAGCTTTTCGGGCCTTTGACTGTGGACAATTTGGGAGCTTTAGCCCTTAGGCTGTCTAGTAGTAATCATCCGTAGCCCAGCGTTTCGCCCCTGGTTCTAATATTTCTTGACCTGAAAGGGGTCCGTTGTGATTGTAGAAACATTGTGAGACAATGCTTGCCTCTGAAGTTCTAATTGTGCTTTTGTCTAAACTTGTCGTCGAAGAGTTCAGGTGCAGCGGTTGCTTGATGATTCTTTTTGTGCCTTTCTGTTCTAGTGATACGTGGCTATACTTCAAGTAGATAAGGGCAACACTGGTCGGAAAGCTAGTCACGGTTCTGAAAAGTCCCCATGGTCCCGTCGGTACTGCTGATAAGCCCAGACAGCAAATTGATGGATGGTATCTTGTCTGGGCGTGATGGCCAGCTCAATGTTGGAGAGAGGGGTTTACCGAGGGGAAGCGCGCAACTCTCAGCCCATCCAAGCCCTAAACTGCCTGAGACACAGTAGTGTTTCGGCATAAGTTTGTGTTGGGATTGTGCAGCAGAATGCTGCAATGGAGCGTAGCTGGGCTCAAGATGTGAATGCCAACCGTTCCTTAAGAAAGCCTGACCACACACATGTGAAGAGCGCACTGCTCTACCGCCTTTTCCACGTGCACAGAGCACGGTACCGATGGCTCTTGTCGGCCTATGAAAGGGGCCCCTTCTTAAGCCAAAGCTACAGGAAGAAGCCCTTGCTCAAATAGGTCAGTGCAGTTGACAGCATGCTTTGCATCTCTCTTGCA